TCCATTGTGTGCAGAAGGCCTTTGATACACAGCCCTCCAGGTGGTGCCCTTTCTTTGTCGCATGAAATTCCGTTCAGGTTTGGCAGAGATAGGCAGTGTAGAATCACAGGTTCCCCTTTCTCACTGCTTCTGCACAAAGAGTTTGGCAGCTTGCCCAAACTCCCAACACAGGCTTCTTATCATCACCAAAGGAACTGCAGCAGTCTATGCTGTGTTGAATATACCTCTGAGCCACAAGGCAGAAAGAAACCACCTACTCTCTATTCCCCCAACACAGCATTGACTTCTAGAAACTACCACTCCCCTACTCTAGGCAGCATACAATGGCAATAGGATCCTCAACTTGAGGAGAGCGGGAAACTAAGTAGATAAACATATGCTCGTACCACCTCGCTTCCCCAAGTACCCATCACTCCTCTTCCACTACCATGCATTCCTCCTTCTCATCTTTGCATTCTTTTTTCTCTCTTCATCCTTTCTTCCTTCTCTTCTCTGGGCTCAGCTGCACATAGGAGGAATAGTTTGCTTCAGGGACACCAAAAGCAGGTTAAGTTCCATTCAGGCCCACACTCATGGCATGCTCTCTAGAAAAGGATCAAGGTTTCCAGATTGTTTCCAGATTTATTGTGCAGGAATTCCAACTAAACTGCCAGCTCCCGAAAGCAAAAACAAATGAAAAGGCCATCTTGGGGAAGTCCACAAACAGAAGGTAATGGTATAGCCAATTAAAACCAGAGGCACACCACTGCTAGCAAAAGGGCTGGCAGTCCTTGGAGAACACCTCCACACAGCATCTGCAATTCACATCAGGAGTCCTCGATTTCCATATTCTTTTAATGCAAACAATTGTGAAATCTAGTAATAATAATAAAACTGCTGCTTCTACTCTGTTAACCAAAAGATGGCAGACAGCCCTTGCTTTGCTAGTCTGAAAAAGCAATGTGCACAGATCTATACAACATCTTTAAAAGAGCTGCTACTGCCCAAATGAGTATCAATTCAGTCTCATGTGATTTCACTTTTCATTGTAGCTTATTTATTTGCATTTTAATTGGGAAACCTTTTAAAGCAGCCTAATTGCAAAGTTAAGCACAGAGAAGCTGCCTAGACAACCTTAATTCAGCCCTTCATGGCTATACACTAATACATAAAAAAGCCAAAGAGAGCACTGCAGGCATCACTAGAATGGCATTTCAAGTCTGAAACTTGACTTCAGTAGATGTAACATTAATGACAACAAAGCAAAGCAAAAATCAAACAAGTTGCCTTTTCTCAACCTCACTCCAAATATACCGTCTATGCCTGATCTGCATTTCAGGGCTGGTTAAATCAGACCTGCATGTTCAGGAGCATCCCTGCTGGCCTACCTAGGGCCAGGACAGGCTGAGGAGAGCACATCCTCAGAACTCTGTGCAGAGGGTCAGGCTGCTGTAGTGTTCATAGTCCACTGGTGAGAAGCCTTTTTTCTTCTATCACAAGCCACACAAACATCACTCAAGTGTAAGGTTATTGCACATGCTTTTATGGACTGATTTCTGCAGTGTAGCAAGCTTTAGCTACCCAGGATTAAAAAAAAAACAAAGCGTACACTAATTTCTCAATTGTTTTTGGTCTAATTTCAGCCACTGCCTATACAGATACTTAAATTTCTCTTGTTTCTTGACTCTGTAAGACTTAACTACAGGCACCTTCTTAAGTGCCTTCTAGCAAAAAAATTTTACGTGTTTTTTGAATGGGGGCTATGGAGAAGAATCATTTCAACTCCTGAATAAAAGCTATGGTTTAATGATACGAAACACTGCTGGAGAAATATTCACTGTATCACAGCTGGTGCACTGTTAACACTACAACAGGAGACAAATATCAATCCATACCTCTTAAATTCAAAAAGACTTTGAATCAGTCTGATATTCATAGCACTCTAGAAACACTACCAAGTTTAATCTTTAACCCTATGCAGTGGCAAGAGGTTAAGCAGGAGGCTGAAACAATTGCACAGACTGAATTTACTACAGAGTGAATGTGGATAAATCCGGTGCTTGTGTATCCTATACCTTCTTATATAATCAGTAAACAGAATTTTTTGCTTCTATACTGTAAAAGCACAGGGACATCAGCTCTGATTCATGAGGAATCTAGCTCCCTTCTCACCCTGTGTTTCCACCACTTACCTCACTTTTTCATCATTAAAGCCTGTCACCTACTCCAACTGCACCCACTCCCTCTAACAGACACAGATCTACTCACCTCCCCATGCACCATCCTCTTACGTTGAACCATAATCACTTCCACCATGGTCTGCTACACGAACCTGCTAAAACACTCTGTTTCTCTTCTCAGTTATTCAGTCCTTATCATAATGGCTTCTTATGAATTTTCCTGGCCTTCTGAAGAATCTGCCTTTTTGCTGTTCTTATGGATACAATCATCTGGCTCTAATCCCTCTTTCAGCACAACCTTGGGCTGCTGCCTGCTAAAGCCTGCTAAAGTCTACCAAAGACACCTCATGGAGCTCACAGACACTGTACAGATCAGACACTCTTTCACACAAACATGTCAACATTCAACCTCAGTTTTGAAAAAACTGCCAACAGAAATACACCAGGAAGTGTCTGAATGATGAACATTCCTAAAGCAATAGCACTAAATAGAAAATGCAATTATCCAAACATGGCTTTCCTGAGGCATCCTTTCCTTTCTGAGCAAATTCCATGGAAGTCTAAGCTCAGCAAGGTCACTGAAACTACTTGCCTGGCTACTCTAAGAGGATCAGTGAAGCTAGGATTGTTCCACAATGCTAGATTGAAATATGTGCCCACAGCACTCTATCTGGATGATTCAGAGACCCCTGATGCATGAATACCCACAAAGGTCCATCCTTAAGCATAACCTCCAAATTGCAATTTTAAACCAGCTTTTTCCCCACCTGTTTTCTGTTTGCACTGAAATTCCTTCCCCTCAACTGCAAGCAGTGAATCTTCCTTTAGAACATGGCAATATTTATTGACTGTATTCTTTGTTCACATCTGTCAGACATGGGAAGTCACCACTGCTTTACAAGACTATCAGTTTTAAGTAATGCCATTCATCACAAAATGGAGTAGTGTGAGCAACATTTCCTCAACTGCAATGAATTATACAAGGGTCAGCAAGCTGGAGTCGCGGTTGGCAACACAAACATTGGCCTCAGGTAGCAAACCCATCTTTCCAGCTGCTCTCATCCATATGGGTTCAATGAACTGCAGAGAGTACAGGCCTTCGCTTATTGAGAGTATCTGCTGGAACTATTTCATCTAACCAGCATCATAAAACAACTATGAAGTAAGGTGAATGCTATTCATCTAAAGCTCATCTGGTAGCCAACTGCTGACAGAGGGTGAAATAGAGATGGCAAAGCAGCAGACAGATGCGATGGGGAAATGCAGGTGCTCCTGCATTTCAAAACTCAGAGATTAAAGCCACAAGAAGTTGAAACAATTCACCTGTCGTTCACAAGCATCTGCTCACCCCAGCAGCACTATGCATCCTGACAAGCATTTTCCAGGATTCCTTAGTGCTTTTCCTCACTAGCATAATGCCCTTTTAATGTACATGCTGTCAAGCAGATCTGTTTGGCAGCAACGCAATTAGCCCTATTTTTGCTCTGAAACAGAAGATTTTGTTTTTGTGCCTGGTTTTGCAAGTAAGACTATTCTGTTATTAACCACAGACATTTACCAGAAGCCTCCTTGCTTGTACACAGCACACATGACTCTCATTCTCTCTGCCTTCCAATTTAGCTCAGGATTCTCTTATATTTTACTTCTAGTACTGGATCCTGCAATAAATTAGTTTTTCTATGAGACACTATTAACACCAAACTGCTTTCCTCGGCCCTATTTTTCCCCTTACCTCCATTAGTGTATCTATATAGCAGTTTTCTATTTAAAACAGTGATTGTGCAAACAACTAACCAAGGATGTTGTAAGTCCTTATTGAATTGATAGCTGTTAATTGCAAAAATACTACAGATATGGCTCAAACTAAAAAAATCAACAGGTTTCAGAGACAAGATCTTCAACAGAGATTTCCATATATGAGAAGCACAAAGGAGCTTCAATTTTCTCACCTTAATGGCATTCAACCAAACAAAATTAATTCCAAGTTAGGCACTCCAAAGAAAAGAAGAAAAGAAGCTTGTAATAGAAAAGTCAAAGCCTTGAATGTCAGTTATAACACAGCAATTGTTTCCGAGTAACGCCATTGACCCAGTTTGCTTCACTGTAACATTTTAAGCTGTTCACTCAAAAAAAGGATCTTTCAGAAATATTCTCTTTCCAGTTCAGGGTTGGTCTAATGGCACCAAACAACTACCCCATCTAATGGCATTTCCTTTGAAAACGTTAAGTTGTCTTGTTATTACATAAAATAAGCAAATCCCTTCAAATACAGAGCTATTGCACTGATGGACTGTAGCAGTGAAATGATAAAATTAAAGGGCAGCTTCATGACTACAGGTATATAAAATTTCATTTTTCAAGAAGTTTCCTGGGATGGATTAAATTATGTAAATATATGTTAACAATAATTCATAACATTTTAATAAAATCTTTTTATTTCTCTCGGCTTCTTAGAAGTGCAGTCCCAGGTGTCCTTAGGGTGGTGGGTGTTTTGTTTTTACACTTTAAGGACACACAAGGTTATACACTTGATAAGCAAGGAAGCACAACTATTGATATATAATGCAGATAATGATGCTGGGCATCCTTTGTCTGGTATCAGTCCCAGTTTTTGCTGGGAGCAGTGTTCATCAACAAAGTAACTTGGTATCAAGAAGGGGATTCACATGTTTCAAGGTTTCTTCCAGCAAGCTATTCTGGGAAAGAAAAGAGTATCTTGATTCTCCCCACCCCCCCCCCCCCATGGAAGATTAAACAGTGAAGGTATTTTTACTGTTGTCAAATTTCGCAGTAGTAAACGGAATCAAATCTACCCAAGACTCATGCCTCGAGTGAACTTACTCACTGAAAACTTCATCCCCAGAGACATCTTTCTCTGTACATGGTCCTCCTGCTGATCAGGCTGTAAAAGTCCGTCAAGTTTAAGGTGACCCTGTTTTCAAAAAAGAAAAAGGATTATTTGTTGTACCAAAGCAGCAGCATTTCATAGCAGTTACATGAGAGACAATTTTCAGTGCTGGCAATTCCAGCAGTGGCAGGATTCTGGCACAGGTGAGAGGCAGTCATGCTTCCTGGAATGCAAAAAAAGCAGTTCAAATAAATTCATATGTAACTCAGCTTTTAAGCTGAGCAGAACAGCCTAGCTGAAGCATTTGGGCTTTTAAACCCCAGTGCTGCACACGCATGGCACAGCTTTACTAACTTTCAGAAATCACAGAACAAGGTCCCACCTCGAGATTCAACTTCAGATCTTTTTTCATTTGGATGTTTTTCCTACATACTGACTCACTCCCTGTGACAATGCACAGAGTAGATGCTCACACTCCTGTTCAGGTGTCTATAATGGTGTCTGGAACACCTAGTGAGCAGGACAGACTAGCAGACATTAGGACAGCAAAGAGAAATATTCAAGGTCACAAAGGTTAAGAACATAAACACTACCACACAGGGTCAGGCTACACTCCTCTTCAGTTCCTTGTTTCCACAGCCTATAACCAGAAGCAGATAATTGAGGTTCAATCTTCAACAGGTTCTGTCCAGTCACTTGAATTTAGAGAGATGGATCTGAGCACCAGAAGTAGCCTATATTTTCTGTTTTTTTCTGATGTCATTCCATGCTTCATCAGAAATCTACAGGAAATATTTGGAAATGATGTTTCCATTTGGATCCATCTCTGCTCTTTGGGATGGGCAAATATTCAATTTTAACTTTTCTTGGCGTTTCCTCCTTCAAGTTGACACCCCAAACCAAAACCATATTGACACTTAGGGATTTGTCCACTGGTGAAGCTGTCAGCTTGAGAGGTGCTGATATTGCTGAACCTCACATTTTCTTCTTTTTCTAATTAAGCAAATGTCTCGAAACAGTAACATCTGTAATAATCGTAAAAAAAAAACCTACCAGCAAACCTTTAAATGTGCTTGCTCTTTTTTTATTTGCAGCTTGTAAAAACATGCTTATTACAGCTGCTACATACATAAAGTTTGCCTACAAAACTCCCACAAATTAATGTTCAACACCCTGTATCCACCAGCACGCATGTGTCTATTGAATCTGCACAGCAGGATCAGGTCCCAAAACACTACTAGATTGGCAGCACATTCATTGAAAACACACCCAAAGCACGAAACACACACACATTTCCTCGAGCCACACTCTGTGTCACAAACTTCAAGGGCCATTCCAGCCTCGCTTTCTGCAAGGAGCTCTTATTGAAGTCAGTAGGAGTGCTGCACGGAGTGCTGCTGTCAGACGTGGCCCTGAGCATAAATGTTGCCTTGAAATATGCCCTGAAGATGAACTCTGAGCTCCACGAGACAAATAGACAGAGAATTAATCCCAGAGTCAAGCATCCTTTTTCCTTGCTGCAAGTCTTGTCCTCAGCCTCCTTTCAGTGAAAGGGGTGACAGTCAGCAGCACTGCCTGCTGTTGTGGTATTTGAGAGCTTCAATAACAACCATATCATTTTCCTACCAAAATTCCAGTCCTACAAAATCCAATCATAAATTACACGGTGAGAGTCACTGAATCACTGTACAGTACCAAACATTTGCTAAGTCCAGCTAAACCAGCAAATATTGGTGACCCCAAAACCTTTATCGGAGCTAAAAGTTTCATTGCTTACAGTATGCAGAATCAGCTTGCATTAGGAAACAATATTGCTTTTCTCTTGTTTTCAAACTCTTTGGACCACTTGACACTGGTGTGTTTTAGAGGAACAGATTTTCCTTAACATGAAGCCTTCCCAAGCTTCTATAACATGAGCAATATTATTTTCCAACATTGTTGATGCTTGGGGGAGAATAAGCTTTACTAATGTGCTGAGTACACAAACATAGAAAGAGCACATAATTTACAATGCTACCAGATAGTCTGATTAACTTACAAACCCCAACTACAGACCTTGTCCTGCCACAGTTCTTGGATCATCACAGTTACAGCAACTTGTTTCTGATTGTATTTTTGTTATTTTTTCCTTTTTGTAGAAAAAGGAAACTCCTATACAATGTGAAAATGCACAAAGGGCATCTGGGAACATAACCCTATTTAGGACAGCATTTAGCAAATGTTTTCATCTCTAGGATTGAACATAAGCATGTATGTGCAAGTCATTTAACAGAGGCACTGAATAAGCCCAACTCAGATTTCTTGGGGCTCAAATAAGCAGTGACACTTTATAAAAATCTGTTTACGTATTTCCATCCCTCCCTTTCAATGTCCAGTTTGGACTATTTATCTTGTAAAGAGTGGTGATCTGCAGGTGCTAGTCGCACAAATGCCAAGATGAAGAACATTCACATGACAGGCTTCTAAAACAACTGAATCTGTTCAAGTGGTAATATGGTCCGGAGAGCTTCCCTAGGATGTGTCAGACTAACTCTGCCTTGTGCTCTTACAGTTTGGTGCAGACACTTTGGTGAGCATCCACCATAACTTCGGCATTTTGTCTATATTCACAAGTACTAGTTGAGCATCAGATTGAATTGTCTCTGTACTCCATCTCATTAACAAAGGATCCTTTGAGCACCAGAGGGCTTGAGACAGGTTTTATGCTACCCTCAATCTCTTGGCTCTTTAGTGCTACACTAACTTCTGTCAGAGCATGATGGTGGTCCCAGCTCCAGCCTCCTTGCTGGACGAACCAGGCACATGCTGAAGCAAGGGATCACAGTTCTCTAGATAACAGGAAGCAGATGAGAAGATAGATGGTGAAGGGCTGGAAGAGGAGGATACACAACCTTCCCTGTGCCATGAAACCCAGGCCACACATGCCAGCCTAGAAAATACCAATGGAAAGACTGCAGACACTTCAGCCTACTCAGCTAACCAACTGATGCCACTCAGGGCCCTTGGGATTGCACTAGGGATACAAAAGGGACCAAAGAATCAGGGATTCTGGCTGGCTGAACAATCCCAGCAGTTGCAACACTTTGAGTAGAACAATCCCCAAATGACTGCTGCCACATCCACAAGGGAAAAATCAGCACTCAAAACTCAAAATGGAGAAAATACACTTGAGCAGCGTAACTCCCCAGTATCAAGCCAGACACGATTAACACAATTCATTTCAGTGTTGCTAAACGTTAATACATCCCAAGGTCTCTTCTTTTCCTGTTTACTCTGTCCTCCTCTCTTTTGCTAAGGGTTCTCATGGTAAAGGACTTTTTACTCTAACAAGGTCTCTCTTTGGAACAGCATCTTTAAATTAAGTACTCATCTGGTGAACAATATGGTATTTTTAGCGACAAGGTAAAAATCATGTCACTTTCTGAACTAATCCCAAAGGAAACATTGAATTATCCTAACTGGTTTATTTCTTAATTGATAACAAAGCACGCTCGAGGAATATCATGCATCATGGCATTATGATTTAAACCAAGCTGCTAAATATCTCATTCTATGGAAAAAGGAGATGCCTGCAAAAGCCTCCTCCAGTAACTGTTACTTACACACAAAGGTGCTCTTTCCATAGACTAAGCATGATGAAAAACACAAAAAGCTCTTGTCAAAAATAAGACCATACCTTAAGCACTGGCATAATATTCCTTTATGTTCCATGGAAAACAGGGAGGGGAAAAAAAGCCCCACAACTAAACAAACAAAAAACCCACAACCCCTAAGCCCTTATAAAAGCAGCTGAGAACCATTCCCATTACTAACAGTGTTACCAAGGCAAAATCTGGGAATGTTCAGCTGGCACATACGCCATCTCAGTAGTGGGATGCACTTCCTGGAGAAGCATAGCATCTTATGAAACAGGGACAGTGAAGGAGCATCCCCATAAAACTATCAGCCCAACAAATGCAAGACTGTCATTATAAGGAAAAGTGGAAGGAAAAAAAAAGTGTCTGTGCATACATCCTTGCTAAAAGACTTTGTTTAATATCATTAACATCAGATGTCCCAGTAGTGACTCCACTGCAGTCATGCCTTCCCTGCAGTGAATGGTGTGGTTCACGCCAACTGAAACAGTGAATCAGTGAAGCACTGGGGCTTCATGCCTCCCTCTGCTCCTACGGCATCTACTGCTGCCTGCCTGCTTCCACACATCTGTGCAGACACAAAGCTCCCATTCCCTGCCCTTCTGTCCCACTGAAGCCTGCAGGAAACTTCCTAGTGATGTAAAGTAGTTTTTATCCTGTTTCCCCAACAGTATCTTCTAACTGGAAACACGATGTTACTGAAGTTGCAGTGATTTGAGAGGGGAGGGCAGGAACACCTCAGGAGATGGAAGGGCTGTTCTCCAGTGCCGCTAGTACAACCACAAAAAACAGAGACTTTATTTCAGCAGGAAAAGAAAACAGTCACTGCTCTTCAAGTCAGTAGCCTCTGTGTAGGCATAAGTTCATTGCTGACGTAGTTGATTTAGTACCTCTTGCTGTGATGGCAGTGTTGGTAAAAGCTTTAACTAGTTTTTATGACGCTATTAAGTTTTAGTCATTTGTGGGTTTTGCAGTATATGAATACTATAGATGCCACCTTAATTAAAAGGTCTTGTCATCTTCTGCAATTAAAAAGAGAAAATGTGCTCTCCTATGAATAGCCAGGAACAAATTGAGCAAGCTGCATTATACACGCTAAGTACACAGCAATTCCATGCCCCTTTCTGTATCACATACATTCTCAAGCATTCAATACTTTCTAATAATCCTGTTACAATGTTTTATGTATAACTGACTTTATCCCCAGTAAAGTACCGGTGCCATGGCATCTCTGACCATTAATGACAACTAAGTTAAAGTTCTACTTTGCACATACATGCAAACTTTACATACACAAAGTGCAGAAGGAAACTGTACTAAATCTCAGGATTTTCATGTACAAACACCTCTTACAAGAGGTGGTCTTTTCTGCAGAAGAAAGTATCTAATGAATAAGACAATCTCTTCCTGAAGAGGACATAATAAGATAAACACCACTTGAACAGATTT